GGGAAACTCTGTCCTAAAGTTCCCCATCCCATATTCTGGGGCAGTACATGGTCCAAAATAACACAGCAATATTGTCCCTCCACAAAACCACCACAACTCTAGATTGCTGGTCTTCGCCTGGCCTTTTCTGAATGATTGGCACGTGCGTATTCGCTCGGGCGAAGGGTGCAAAGGACTGATAAGGGAGAAGGTGCTCAGGAGACCTTGATTTCATCACTTCTGCAGTCTTTTTGTCAGTCCTGAATGAAAGGGCCGTTAACTTCATGGAGGGACCCCAATTTCTAGCATCACAGCAGGCAGGACTTTTTCTGACGATGTAAAAAAGAGTTTTTACATCATTAGAAAATGAACAAGAAAGAGCATAGACAAAGAAAGTAGAAAAATATAAAAGTGCTAGAAACAAATCAAGAAAAAAGGAAAAAGAAAATCAAAGATGCGGCTTCTGACGCAAACACACTTTCACTATTTCTCCCCTTTTAAAATTACATTATATAGTCCCCTTCTTTTCATATTCAACCCTTTTTAATCAACACATCCAGACATCACCAGTTCATTTTTATCCATTTTCAGCTAAAAGTCCATAAAAGGTTTCTAGTCTTTCCAAAGTACTTACTGTTTCATCCCTAATCAAACAAGTCAGTTTTGCCATTTCTGCAAATTCTGCCTCTGCACTTGTTCCAATTGCCTTCTTAGAAAGGAGTACATTTTGTCTAATTTATATTAAGTCCAGAACGAATTATTGGTTAATTTTCTCCAAACTAGCCCCTGGAAAAGACCAGGTCCTGTTGTCACAATGTCGAACCATTCCCCCCACCCCCACTTTCAACCTCTTGCAGAATTCTGTGCCACATTTTTCTACTCTCCCCCCAAAATCTGCCACAGTCTATTTGATCGCTCTCTTTTTAATTTGATCTAACCCCTTGAATGGCTGCCTTTGTTAAGAACAGCAGCATTTTTCATGAATGGAAAATCAAGATGAGCGAGATTGGTCTTTGGAGTCATATGAGTGCACCTTCATTGGATTTATGTCATAATTTGTGAAGCATTTAAGGCATTAGCAGTCAAATCAGTATTGGCAATACTAGGCTGTAAATCCAATGATCCGGGCTAAACTGGTGCCTAGGGGAAGCCAATCTCTTCCAGCAATTTCACATCTTCATTCTTTTCCAGATGAGCTAGAATTTATCATGGGATGACGGATGCTTAAATGTCCTCGTCTTCTCTTTCCCTGAGGATTATTCCAAGTGAGAGATGAAGCATAGTGCTGCAATTGGAAGTAAATGGAAGGTCTTTATTGTCACTCACACAAGCATCACATATTGGTAGCCTTTGGAGAGCGGTAGATGAACCCATAGTTTGCTTCTGCGAAGAAAATATCATTTGAAACCCCTGGCTTCTTGACAGACACAGGAGTAAATATACTGTAGGCCACTTTCACATAGTGGCTGGCTTCATTCCCACCTTCTCCTCCATGAGGAGGCCAAACGATGGCCAGCATCGCTTGTGTTCTCAAATGAGGGAGTGCTAAAAACAGTTTAGCGGAGGCCTTGGTGAGCTTTTCTTGTGGGTCTTGCTTTTTGTGGACAGAGGAAAAGAAGGGAACCAGACCAGACCACCAATCAAGCCCAGGGTGTGGTTGCGCAGCTATCTGTAGAAGTGGCCAGAGATCAGTGACGCTGTGGTGGCAAGAGAGCACAGCACCTCCACTTCAGGAGAGTGGGGGAATCCGTGGTGGTGGGATCGGGTGGGGACTCCTGCCAGTGAGAGACTGACATTAATGCTTGAGCTCAGGCAACAGGGCTCATAGCTTCGAGGGGACCGGAGTTGTCCTAGAAAAAGCCCAATATTTTATCTCTAGTGGATTAAATAATATAACCCAAAACAAGATGGAAAGCAACAGAAGCCATCTGCTACAAATACTATATATAAAGCCTTCATGGAAAAAAAACAAACAGGTTTTGTGGAGAGGTTCTAAAATATTGATTTTTAATTCAGGGCTGTGTGTCGCAGTGTTTATTGCTATGTACTTTGAATTTGTCATAGCAACGCAGGTAAACATATCTATAAAAGCCCATGAACATTTCATTCCATGCAGTAAGAATGTCCATAGAAGGAGGCATTATTTCCCCATTTTAATTATGCCACCTCTTCACAGTCTGGCTTTCAGAACTGGAAACTGGGCTAAAGAAGTACAGGTGTTTTGCTTCTTCATCTGAAAACCCTATCCGTATTTCTGGTTCTCGTTTTTCACCTGTCTTTAAGCAAAGCCTAGTGCTCATATGTTTTAAGTTATAGTGCAACCATTGTGTTTTTGCACTAGAGGGCAGAGTGTGATAAGTTTTAGAAATTGAACAAATAATCTGACTCCACCCAAACAGCTGTGCATTGATTATAGGTTACAAAACTTCTGCAGAAATCCAGGACCCGGGGATGGAGATGCGGAGGGTTTCAAGCATTTATAAGAAAACAAAACATCACATTGAAGGCTGAAATGGATACATGCCTAAGTGGCCTAACTGATAACCATTTCCCTAGAAAATCAGAACTTCAGTATCATTTATTTCATAATTCATGATTTTTGGACCAACAAACAACTGTCTTAAGTCAGCTATGTCTGTTGCTTTCTGAATGAGATGCCTTCCGTACATCAGAAAAGCAGTTATTTAGGATTTTTAATTTGGATTGGGGCTGGATTATTCCTTTATTATGTGTCTCTTCCAAAGAAGCTGAGGAGAGAAGGGAAGGGATGGGAAGGGAAGGGAAGGAGAAGAGGCAAATGGATGGGGAAGGGAAGGGAAGGGAAGGGAAGGGAAGGGAAGGGAAGGGAAGGGAAGGGAAGGGAAGGGAAGGGAAGGGAAGGGAAGGGAAGGGAAGGGAAGGGAAGAAATATCCAATGATGATAATAAACTCAACTGTAGAAATCATACAGATGTGATTAAGAACTGTCTGATTGCAGTTACTAAGCAGTTCCTTAGGACATCACCATAATCTATTCTGAAAGATCCACAACCACGAACCAGGCCTAAAAGAAGCATAAAAAATAGTGTTAAAAGATGTCCAAGAGAGCCCCCCAGTTTAGATATTTCTTCCATCAAATTGTACCAGGGGTTTTTCAAGCTACCTTACTATATCATGAACGCAGAATGAGACAGATTCTCACCTTCATTTAATGAATCCTTTACAACAGTAATCCTTTAATTTAGTAAGGATCCCGGAAGCTACAGACTCATGTCTCATGGATACAAACTCAAAGCAGTCCAGACAAAGAGACTGAAGACTACAATCTTTATATCCTTATATACATATCCACTTATAATCCAATGGGTTTCAGATTTATTCATGGACATGGTGTTTCCTGTGCTAGAAACCTCTTCAGATTGAACTTTGATGGCCCCTACCTTTCAAACTTGCAAAGTAAGCTTGAAAACCCAACTGTACCAGATGGCCTTTTCTTACAGAATTTTAGTGCTGTGGTTTTCTTGAGATTCCAAGTGTTTTTTAAAAAAACAGTTAAATAAGAACTACCCTTATTATAATGGAACTATATTTTCACAATAAGGGCTTTGCTAGATACTTCAATGTTTTTGTACTTCTAAGAATATTGGCAGACAAATAGCCAGACCGTATCTCTTTCTTCTTGCTTTTTCTTTCTCTCCTTGTTCTACCACATATATTTGAGGAAACACATTCACTTGTCTTTGCTGACACTTTTTTTCTGAAAGTCTGACTTAGTTCTGCAGCAAACAAACCAATCAAGGCATTACCTTCTTTTCATTCCATTTCTTTTCTCTTCCACCCCCCACCACGCTCTTTGGTGCTGAGAGGAAATGGCTCCAAATTAAAATATTATTTAATAAAACAATTAATTTTGGCTGAATTCCCAAATATAGTCCCATTTGGAGGCAAATGGGATAAAGGCACGTTAAGGTCAAGGGGAACAACCCCTTCCCAATGATTCCAAAAGGCTTCTAAGAAAAGGTTTCATAATTTTAATGTATCAATAAAGGCACTTACTTTTCTTCTTTCCTCTTTGGCAATCCAGTTTCTCCATCATGTTATGCAACAAAGAAAAATAATTTCTCAGCAGAAGACTACAGTTTACTTCTCAGCAAGAAGAAGGAAGAGTATCCTCTTTCATGATCAAAAGTGGGTTTGTCCAGTTTATGATCCATCAAACCAAATGCAAGGTCAAGAAGGTGGCCACAATGGACCAACTGAAGCACCATCTGTTTTTTATGGGCATCACACTTGCAACACTCATAAAAAACAGGCAGAGCTTTGACCATAGCATTGTGGCCGCCCTCCTGA